ACAAGATCCTGATAGTCCAGTACCAGTTTCACATCATGATCTTTAATGAGAAGAAAATGCCAGTGGTGAAAAAATATCTAGTTCCAATATGAATGCTCTAAGCATGAAAAGCAAATATGAATGGTAAAGTACCTATAGAAATTAAATTACCTTGGTTAACGAAATCTCAATTTTTGCCTAAAAAGAATGAGAATACCATTACAGATGGGAGGAATGAGTTCCATAAAAAGCTTTCCTCTGGATTTGCCTTTTGAGAAGGCTTCTGTATAAAACCAGAACAATTAATGCTGGGGTTTCAGTGGAAGTACTACTGGAAAAGAAATAATCTTAAAATATATATTAATTTACCACATTTAGCCCTTTATGTATCTTACAAAATACTACTGCTCTACATACTGCATGTAAAAAAAAAGTTTATATATATATGTATATATACATATAAAGGCAAAGTCGACCAGCGTGGCATTAGAAAAAAAAACAGAACACAACACAAAGCATGAGCAGACACACTGAAAGTTATGCAGTAATGAGGAGTGTATGTTTCATGTGTGCATTAGTGTAACAGTTCTTCCAATCTTCAAACACCCTTTTAATTGTCTAAGCAGTGTTTTTTTCCACATCTGCTCTACCAGTGATTTTCCCAATCACCACAAATATCTGTTACTTGATTTCTTGCTATCTTTACTATACTTAGAACAAAATCAGAAGTAAGGCAAAATAATCTTTCAGAAATCTGAATATCTGAGGACATTCACATCTTACAAAAATTAAGGTAAAATATTACTAAATATCACTGGAGCACAAAAAATGGTACTCCTGAACTGAAGCATCCTTTTGTCTCTACCAAGATGTCCAAATTATTCCAGAGTTATCCAGGCTGCTTAAGGATGTCAATTATTTACAGGCATCCCTTTTGTCTTAGCAAGTTCTGAATGACCTTAAAGCTTCAGGATGTGTGTGTGCTCACAATTTCTGGTCTAAAACCACCACCAATGACAGAAAACAAGGGAATCAGTTCTGATACTGCTCAGAGGTTTGGAGTGGATATTCAGAGATGATGGGCATTCTTGTGATCGGCTTCATGCTGAGATCTGTAAAACTCGATTCTAACTTTCATCTTCCAGCTACAAGAGTGAAATCCACTCTTTATGTACCTAGCATATATTTTACCCAAAAAACTGCTGTTCAGTATACAAAGAAACTAAGACAGAAGATTGCATTTACCTGCCTTCTCTTGCATCAGCCTTCCTAAAAAAACAAGCGAGCAAGCAACCTAGAAAACCTCCAAAACTACTCCACAAAAATTACCTTTTTTTTTTCCATAATAAATAAAATTAGCCTCTCTGATAAAGCAAAAGTGCCTGGGAAAAAAAAAAAAAAAAAAAAAAAAGAGTTGCAATATCTAGGGAATAAAAGAGACAGATGTCTTTGAAAGTTTTCAGGTCAGAAGGACTTAATCCAGCACCCGCTAAAGTTTTATCCAGTGAAAGAGTAACTTCAGAATTCATCTCTCTAGGGATGCTGGTTCAGGACTGCAGTCCAGCTGATATATCAGTCACTGGCAGGCACTGAAATGAATGCCATCAGCATAATGGTGTACAATCCTTTTTAAACCTCAAGCATGAGCTACCAGGGAATTCCCTGAATACTCCTTGGAGTGTTGTGTGGAGTGCAGCACTTTGTAGCTGGTGTTTAAGCTAGAAAAACAGCATGACAAATTGAGCAATGGAAACTCCAAGAGCATCCTTTGCTACTCACCAAATCATACTAGTGAAGAATGACCACAGGCACAAGACTAAAACGAACCCTAGGCTCCAGAGTTCAGAACCCCCAGGTCAAGGTTACCCATTTGTTTTGGGAAATGGAATTTTTGAGGAGTCAAACAACTGGGAACATCACAGGAAAAACACTGAAATACAAAAATGCAAGGATTAAAAAACAGAAGGGGAGTTAATGATCCCCCTCTAACACATTCCCTTTAAAACAGCGTATTTAAAAACTTTAAATTCAGTTATAAATTGGTTTCAAAATTGGCAGTTTTTAAGAGTTCTATAAGTCATAATATTAATCACCAGAGTTTCCTAGAAGGTCCCTGTAGCCCCCTGAAAACTATTACCACTTCTTTATGCATCAGTATTGCTCAAATTAATACAAACATGGAAAACATTAAAATCTCGAAATGTGTATGCAGGAAAAAAAAAAGTTTTAAAAGAAAGACTCCGAACATTTCAAGGCTAAAGGCGTGATTCAGTCTCCATGAAAACTAGTGGGACTCTTCCCATAGCAACCAGTGGATTTTGGACTAGGCCTTAACAAGAGACAACAACATACTGAGTTTTACGTGGCAGGAACTCACACAAAGTACTTCT